CCTCTATATTTCCCCCACACGGGGCCTTAGCTCTAGCAGCTTGATCAGATCTAGGCTTGATGTTTTCAGGAATAATTCCCAATTAGGGTATTGGTGGGCCGGTGGTGGAGTCCTCACCATCCACACAGGAGACGGAGGTTTGATTCCCAACCAATCCAGTCCACATGCAGCAGACATCCATTTGTCAACGGAGGCTTGGAGGTGAAGCTACTGAGCAGTTTCAGTGGAGCCCCAGATGCAGACAGACTAGGAGAAAAGGCCTGGCGATCTCCTTCTGAGAACCCTGTGGATCACGGTCTGATTCCCAACTGATCCTGGAGGTGCCCCAGGACTGGGCAGCACTTGGCTGCATTGTGCATCCATCCGGGGCTGACCCAAGGGCAGGCAGCGACGATGTCTCAGATGGTGTAATTCACTTCTATCAGAGGCACAGGGTGCCTGGTTGTCTCTCCGTGTTAGAACACGCACCCCCAAGCTTAAGTTGAGAGTATCCTGAACCCAGGCAAATTTCTTCAAACTACCTTCTCTTTATACCTGATATCATTATTCATGACAACCTAAAAAATGCAGCCCATGAACTGTGATCTGTATGGATTGGGATAACAGTTGTATGAGCCCCTAATAAAATGTTAAAAAAATAAAATAAAATAAAAATAAAATGAGATCCAAATAAGAAAAAGAAAAAAATTCAATGCAAAAAAAAACCAAAAAAACAAGATGGTGTATCACTACTTTAACCTAATTATCTCTCCTTGTTTCTCATTTGTAGCACAGTCCCTAAGTTTCAAATGAGATCAGTTCCTGAGTGCACCTTCAAGTCAGATGGGCAGGTAAATCAGAAAGGTACATGCGTTCTAAACACAAGAAAAGGTCAGAGGTTTTTCAATGCTATGAAAAAGCTGCATATGCATAAAGTGGAGGTGACTGGGATAAAAGACGTGCTGTAACGAGATTGATTCCAGCATTTCAAAGCGAGGGCAAATTCACATGACATGAGATGGCAAATCTCAGTTGCCCATAAATCAGGTAGGTGTAATCTGGGGACTTGCTGGTATAGCAGCTATAAATTGAGTTTGATGCATTGTCATCCACTTCCCTTATTTCAATCTATTCTCTTGCCACTCCACTCTCCCAGGCAAAAACTAGCCCAGTAGCTCAGCAGGTAATCTTAATCATGAATACAATGAGAGCTCCCATACCAGCCAATGAAAACCCAGGTCGGCTTCCTCCATCAAATACATGTCGCCTTGATTAGGTTGCTGATCCAGTCACCAGGTCCAGAGAGGGTTCGCCAGAATGAAATACGAGGGACATCAGACAGCTTTTTCAAAATCATAAATCACTTCAACTGTGCTCGGGGGAATTCTACATCTGACTGAGAGAGATATAACACCATTCTCACCATCAACAGGCTGATAACTTTCTGATCCAGCTGATAATGTCATGCCTCCAGCTCTTTAAGAGACTCCATGAGTGATCATTGTATGAGTTTTTATTTTCTGTTTCTAAGGCATCTCCAAGTTCAAAGAAGTTGCCAAGTTGCCCAGCTCCTGTTCAGTTAAGAACTCGGCAGGTTCAATACTCCCTGACTATGTGCGAGCAAGCCCCTGAGGTCTTCTGACCCAACCATTGTGCATAAATCTAGATTCTGTGCCCTGCCTCACCAAACTTCAAGGATACAGTTACCACCAATGCAGTTATTACTACATTTTAGAAGTCATTCTTTCTCCAGACCTCTTTATCAAACATGGCAATAACCAACTGGAAGATGTTAAACCATTTGCTGGAATAGTACCTGGCATTATGAAGCACTCCCCACATTATTGAATACAATGGTGAAATGGGTGTTCATTACGTAAATCCTCAACAGAGCTTGGGTTGTTTGCCAAAGTGCAACCGGTGAGTTGAGAGTTGCTAAATGCTGAAGTTCCATAGTTGTAGGCTAGGCTTGGTTTTCCTTCTCAATCTTCTCACTGTGCCCCTTCATCCATGCGCCTGACTTCCAATGGCAGCAGAGCTGTATTTCAGCCCCAAACCTTTTGTAAAACTCCAGACTCACAAGTCCATTCTCCTAGACCAAGTTGAATCCATCGCCTCCTGCCTGCTGGTTTCTATCCTGGTGCATGACCCCACGCACCATCCGAGCATTAGACTCCCATCTTCACCCCTTACAGCCAACGAATTGCTGACTCCTGTTCGTTTTACCACCTATCCATCCCTGCTGATCTCAGCTCAAACCCTAATCATCTCTCCTTTAGACAATTTCAATAATCTCTTAATGGGTCTCTACATACTGGTTTTCTCTTAAGATAACATTCCTGCCTCCAAACCTGCAGACACCAAATCAGATCTTGTTTCTCTCTGCTTAAAACCGTTTCATGGTACCCATCACTGAAGTAGTGACACCATATAATTTCTTTTCTAATCCAGAGCACATGCAGGAGTGACATTCATAGTGACATCGGTACAAGCAGCAAACCAAGACTGTCCCAAGTAAACCTTCATACAAGGCTTTCCTAAGTCTCTGGCGTCCCAGCACTTCACTAACTCGGGGACCTCACACCACTTTCAGTTTTCTGAACCTGCCAGTGTTCACCTCTATGCCTTTGCATAAGTTGTCATCTTCTCCCAGGGCAGTACTGATCCTTCAAACCTGTCTAAGCAGCCCCTCCTGTATGACGCTTTCTCTGAAGCCTACGAGCCAACTCTGTGCCTTGGACTTACACCTGACTGAGCACCTGGCCTCCCGCACTGCACACATGGATGTGTCTGCCTTTATCTCCCCGGCATCTACATTGGATGACCAGTCTGCACCCAGCAAGCATTGCGCACATTGTTTCTCAGTCACCTAATAAAATGCTTTTCTCTGAGCTGCTAATTTAGCAGAATTAACCAAAAATATGGAACAAAATGAAGGAAGGGTTAGGTAAGTTGTTCCTTTTACCATGTCTACAGGTCACAGACCACCTTCCCATTTCAATCTTCTTTTAAGAAGGGCTTGGGGATGGCAGATGCACGAGATAATGGCAGAACTCCTGTAAGAAAAGAGCTTTAAACAAACTAAGAGAACACAGTTGGAGAGGTCACAGTACTTAACTATAAGAATGACCAGGAAGCTATGACCTTAACCAACTATAAGATGACCATGACCATGAAAGACAGAATGACATCTGTGTCAGGATAGACAACTAGACCAATGGAAAGAACAGACACCATAAAAGTTTAACGGGTCTGTGAGCGAAGTGTCAACCTATTTGGTGAAAAGAGAAGGGTCTTTGCAGGAAATAAGGCGCCCTGGTGGTGCAGTGGTTAAGCACTCAGCAGCTAACCAAAAGGTGGGTGGTTCAAACACACCAGCAGCTTGTGGGAGAAAAGATGTGGTGAGAGTCGGCTTCAGCAGACATAACCACCTAGGGAGCAGTTCTAGGTTGTCCTGCAGCATAGCTATGAGTCAAAATGAACTTGATGGTGGGGGTTGGTCTTCATTTGATTCTGGAACAATTGGATTGCTATCCCGAAAAAGAATCTCAACTCCTCCATCACATCACATACAAATATAAATCTGAGAGGTAACATAGGTCTACATATAGACGTGAACTCTGTGTTAAAAACAACAACAGGAGAGTATCTCTGTGACTGCATGATAAAGATTTTTCTTAGTGGGAACGCAGAATACCCAAACTATGAAATAATCAAATCGGACTTCGTAGAAATTAAAAACTACTTTTCAAATGAATAGGTGTACCAGAGACAGGGAAATGTAATCACAACGAATGCACTAACAAAGTCTCATATCTATTAAAAAAACTATAGATAAATAATTTTTAAAACAAATTTAAATGGTAAAAATGTATAAGCACTTATTTTTTAAAAGTCCAAATGAGCAACAGTATGTGGACCAATGCTCAATACCAAAGACATGCAAATTCAAATCACAGCAAGACCACTGCCTACCCACTAGGATTTCAAAAATTAAAAAGAATACCAAGTGTTGACGATACACAGTAGCTGGAATTTTCATGGTTTCCTGGTAACAGTTTAATAACCCAATGGCCATGGAAAACCATTTGGTAATTTCTTGGAAAGCTCAGTATCTACCTACACTATTAAGCAGCCATCCCATTCCTATTGTAGATCCGAACAGTATGTACAATAATGTATGTACACGAAGGTGGATGTAGTACTTGAGTAAAAGGAGGTACACATTTTTCAGAACTTTTTTGGTTTTGCATCTTTAATGTTCATTTCCCTGTTATAAATTTTATCCTGGGAGGGTGGGGATGGTGGCAAGGAAAGAACGACTGACTCCCTTAAAGGACAAGAAGATAACGATGATAAACAAGAGGGTACAATCCCTAAATGGTTGTCACACAAATTCGTGCTAAAAGGTTTTGCTAAAACTTTTGTGCTGAAAGGTTAGCACAAAAACAAAAACATCTTAAACAAGTTTAGCTGGCATAAACCAAAAGAGGCAATAACAAGGTACTAAGTTCAGCTCCAGTGATGTGGGGGACCTAGTGGTGCAACAGTTAAACGCATGCCTGGGAACCAAGAGGCTGGTGGTTTGACCCCACTTCGTGGTTTCAGGAGAAAACCCTGGTGGTCTCCTTCCAGAAAGACTGTCGCGTATGGGACAAACCCTGTGGGACAGACTCACTCTGTCACATGGGGCCACTGGGACTCAGAACTGACTTGAAAACAGCTAACCACTGCCAACTGGAAATGAATAAAAACTCATCACAATAATAACAAGTTGATGAAGAATAAAATCTCAGTGAGTATATTAAAAACAACTGCAGCTTGCCAGATTTAGCAAATACATTTAGTCTGGCAATCTGACCATGAGGCATGAAAACATTACTAATTTGAGACACTCAACAACACAACAACAACAACAACAACAACAAAATGCCTTGTGTATCATTTCCACAATAGAAACTCCCACTGAAGACAGACTGAGTCTGCACATGTACCAGAAACGACTCACACCTGGTTCTTACCTTCAGTGAAACTCCCGGTGAGAGTGATTACCACAAATACTTTCCCCTCTGGCTCCAGATCCACCTAAAAAGAGAGAGGGAAAAAGTAATGTGTTACTTTTATAGTTATAGTACTTTTTGTGAGCTCCAATCCTTCATGGAAGCTCAAAAAGCCTAAATCCTGGTCAGCAGTCAGACCTCAGACTTTCAGGAAAGAGTAGGGAAGGTGACCAGATGTTAACATTGGTAAAGAAGGACACCATTGACCGGGGGCAGGGGGTTTGTTGATTTAAAAATTGGTCTAGATGGACCAAATAGATCGTTCCCTAGCTTGTCTGTGCATTCTTTCCAAAAATCGGGACTTTTTTAAAACATCAAAAATTGGGACTATCACGCCAAAAGCAGGACGTCTGGTCACCTTAGAGGGCCAGGAGAAGAAGCAAAATCCCAAAGAGCTGCACGGGTTGAGACATATATCCCCAAGAAACTAAGCTCTTTCAGAGTTTCCTTCCACTTAAATTACATTCTCTTTCATTTTTGCTGTGTGTGTGTTTGTGTTTGTGTGTGTGTATGTGCGCGTGCGCACGCTCTAAAGAAGCACACAAACTGTTGGTGTTTTGAGACATTCCCGATTTACATATGCCACTTGCAAGAGAAGCATTTTGCTAAATACTATGGCAACTATACAAAATAGATAGATAAAAGGGAGTAACGGTCTGTCAACTGCAAATCTTTACCACTCGTCTGTCAGTTTGTTTTAGTGTAGCGGCTTGCCTGCAACTGTGATGGGAGAAGCTGTGCCACTGGTATTTCAAACACTAGCAGGGCTGTCTATGGTGCAAAAGTTTCAGCACAGCATCCACGCTAAGAACAGATGAAGAAGCAAGAAGCTGTTCACTTCTGAGGAAGTAGCCACTGACAACCTTAGCGATACCAGAGGAACACCATCAGATGCAGCGCTGGAAGATAAGCCCCTCCTGTGGGAAGGCACTCAAAATACAATGGGGAACAGCAGGCTCTTCAAAAGTGAGTCAACCTTAAATGCATGGACAGAGGAAAGCTTAGGGGACCTTCCTTTGCTGACAGGGCATGTCTCAAAGGAGAGGAAACCGTTGTAAATACCCCTGGGTAATCATAATATGGAATATGTAAAGGATGCATCTAGAAAAATTAGAGTTCATAAAATATAATAGAATGCATAAAGATTAATATCCTAGGCACTGGGGAGTTGAAATTAACATCCTAGGCACTGGTGAGTTTCACTGGCATTACCCATTGTCAGACAACGATAGTGTTTACTACTATTGTAGTAATGAGAGAATCAAGATGAATTGTCAAAAGAGGCTTCTCTTTTTTTCTTTTTAATCATTTTATTGGGGGCTCATACCACAATCCATACATGGTATCAAGCACATTTATTGCCATCATTATTCTCCAAACATTTGCTTTATACTTGAGTCCTTGGTATCAGCTTCTCCCTACCTGCTCTCCCTTACCCTTGATAATTTATAAATTATTATCATTTTGTCATGTCTTACACTGACCAATGACTCCCTTCACCCACTTTTCTATTGTCTGTCACCCTGGGAGTGGGTGATATGTAGATCATTGTGATCAGTTCCCCTTTTCTCCCCCCACCTTCCCCCTACCCTCCTGGTATCACTCTCAATACTGTTCCTGAGGGGTTCATCTGTCCTGGATTCCCTGTGTCTCCAGCTCTTATCTGTACCCATGAGCATGCTCTGGTCTAGCAGGATTTGTAAGGTAGAATTGGGCAGGGGGAGGGGAGGAAGCATTAAAGAACTAGAGGAAAGTTGTATGTTTCCTCAGTGCCACACTGCATCCTGACTGGCTCGTCACTTCCTTGTGACCTTCTGTAAGGGGAAGCCCAATTGGGCTTTGGGGTTCCACTCCACACTATCCGTCATTCACATTGATATGATTTTTTTGTTCTGGGTCTTTGAAGGCTGATACATGATCCTATCGACACCTCATGATCACACAGGCTGGTGTGCTTCTTCCATGTGGACTTCGTTGCTTAGCTAGATGGCTGCTTGTTTATCTTCAAGCCTTTAAGACCACAGATGCTATATCTTTTGATAACCGGGCACCATCAGCTTTCTTCGCCACATTTGCTTATGCACCCGCTTTGTCTTCAGTGATCCTGTCAGGAAAGTAAGCATCATGGAATGCCAAGTTATTAAAACAAAGTGTTCTTGTGTCGAGGGAGTACTTGAGTAGAGACCCAATGTCCATCTGCTACCATAAAACTAAATCTATAAATATATGTACATGGATCTATTTCCCTATCATCATATATAAAATATATTTACATATGTGCATGCCCGTATTTAGACCTCTATAAATGCCCTTTGCCTCCTGGTTCTTTCCTCTATTTGCTTTTACTTTTCTCTTGTCCCACTATCATGTTCAGCCTTCATTTTTCACTTCATTTTACACTTTTCAAGATGTATCTAGAAATACAGTACTGTCTGTGGTAGGATAATATCCATACGTCTACAAGGAAGTTCAGTTAATACATGTTATTTAAATTTACACACCAACCACTAAAGCAAGTAATGAAGACATTAAAGATTTCTACCAATGTCTTCATGGTAAAATTGACCAGGCAGGCAATCAAAGTGCACTCATCATTAATGGCAATTGAAATTCAAAAGTTGGAAACAAAGAGGAAAGGTCAATGGTTGGAAAATATGACCTTGCTGATAGAAATATCAAGCTGGACATCACATAATAGAATATTGCAAGAGAATGACCACTTCATCACAAATATCCTTTCACCAACATAAGGGGTGGCTGATTACACGCACGGACCTTGTCTAATGGGATACATAGGGATCGGTCTGACTGTGGAATAGTCTATCAACTGTTTATCCTTAACTCAGGTTGAAGTAGAAGAAAATGAAAACAAGTCCTCAAGAGCCAAACTACAACGTTGACTAAATCTCACCAAGTTTAAAAACATCTCAAGAACAGCTTTGACTCACTGAACACTCATGACAGGAGACCTGGCGAGCTGTGGAACTGACTTCAAACCACCAGACATGAAGAAAGTGGGTCATGAAGAAGACGGAACCCGCACACCAAGGTAGATGTCAGAAGATGTCGAGGAACTAAGCAAATGGAAGAAATGGACAGAACTCTCAAAGGGCCGCTTGAGCAAAGCAAACCATTATCATGAAATGTGCAAAGTCCGGAGTTCGAACGCCCAGAAGGAAGAACACACTCAGCGTATCTCAAGCGCAAAGCAACGAAGACACGATTCAAGCTTTAAGCTGCATTATTTCAAAGATCCTGTGCCCAAACTATCAAGTGATACAGTAGAATCATTTGAAAAGGAATCGAGGTGAGAAAATGGAAGAAATACACAGTCACTGTACCAAAAAGAACTGATAAACAGAGTTATTGCAAGAGGGAGCATATGATCAAAAACTGATGGAGTCCAAATTGCACTGAAGATATTAATGAAAGACAAGACTCCAGGAATTGATGGAATACCAATTAAAACGTTTCAACAAGCTGAGGCAGCACTGGGAGCATTCGTTCACCTTTGCCAAGAAATGTGGGAGACAGCTACCTGGCCAAGTGACTGAAAGAGATTCCTATTTGTGTACACGCCACAGAACAGTGACCCAGAATAATTTGGAAACTGTTCAATATCATTCACATTGCATGCAAATAAAATTTTGCTGAAGATAATTCAAAAATGGTTACAGTAGGATATCAACAAGGAGTGGCTAGAAATTCTAGCTGAATTCACAAGAGGATGTGCAGCTAGGGATATCACTGCTGGCTCCAAATGGACCTTGGCTGAAAGCTGAGAAGACCAGAAAGATATTTTCTTGTGTTTTAGTGACGATGAAAAGGCATTTGATGGTGTGGATCATTAAAAAAGAAGGGATAATATCAGGACAAATAAGAATTGAAGAATATTTCAGTGTGCTCATGCAAAATGTACACATCGACCAAGAGACCAGTCTATGCATGTTTTAAAATCAGGAAATGTGAGTGCCAGGTTTTATCGCTTCACTATAACTATTCAATCTGTATGCTGTGCAAACGATCTGAGAAGCTGGAGTACACGACGAAGAACGCAGCATCGGGATAGGAGGGAAGCTTATTCAGTCTGCAGTCTGCAGATGCCACAATCTTGCTTATGGAAAGCCAGGAGGACCTGAAGCACCTGCTGATGAAGATCAAAGACTGAAGTCTTCAGTCTGAACTGCAACTCAAAGAGCAAAACTATCATTTTGAGCACGAAAATGTGCGTGGCTCAAGCCATGGTATTTGCAATCCCACATATGCATGTGAAAACTGAAAAATGGGTAAGGGAGACCACAGAAGAGGGAGGCATTTGAATTATGGGGTTGGCGAAGAATGTTTAAAGGACCATGGACTGCCAGAAAGACAAACAAATCTGTCTCAGATGAAGTACAGCCGGAATGCTCCTGAGAAGGAGGATGACGAGATTGTCTCCCCGACTTTGGACATGTTCTCAGGAGGGACTCGTCCCTGGGAACGGCTATCAACTTGGTAAAGTACAGATTCGGCAACAAAAAGAGGACACTCCTTAATGAGACTGACTGACACAGAGTGAGGATGGCACAGGACTGGGCAGGGTTTCATTCTCTGGTACATAGGGTCACGATCGGTCCGAACGGGCTCAGTGGCGGCAAGCTGCCGATCTTAATTGTATCAAGAAAAATTATAATGAGCCCAGTGATGTCCCTGTCTATCCCGTTAACAACAAAAATCGAGTTACTCTTAAGGAAGCACTAGACTAGAGGAAGGAAGTTTAGGTTCTTTATATCCACTACACTCTACCTGTACAAGAGAGCCTCAATGTCCCTTAAAGTTCTTATGCAGGGGCTGAAACACCTATTCTGAAATCGAGAAACTGAATTTGTCTCTGCCACTGAGCTCCATCCTCGGCACACACTCCAGTTTCCAAAGGCCCTCAGCATCCTAGTGACCAGGTGTGTTCTGGTCACCACTAGCTAGGTGGGCGGGATGTGCCCCTTCGTGCTGGCTAGTGGCTTAGGCACTTTGGAGTGTGAGGTTCTT